AAAATGTAGCCATTTTCCAGAACTATTGAACGGTTTCTTTCGAAGTACCCCCAAAATTAAAATATCTTCATGATCCGAAATCCACAACTAGATCTTTCTTACCAATTTTTATTTCAAAATCCTGTAATTGACGGAGATCTGTCACCAACCACCCATATATACATTTTGTGTCATATGAATAAAAATGAGCACTTGCTCCGGAGCTAAGTGAGTCTACTCCGCGACACTGAGCAAGAAGCTCCATTTCGTATGAATAAAAATTTCGTATGTCTCTGAAGAACTTACTCACGTCTCGCGAGCATTTGCTCGTCGGGAACAAGTGATAGTGCAGGCTAAGAGTTTTAAAAATTGATTTCTTTAGCAACAAAGATGTTACATACGTTACGCGCGTCGCGCACATTTGTGCGGAATAGAGAGTAATGTTTTGTTGTCTCGTTCTTTAAATTTGAATATGAATAGCAGTAACGAAAAACAGGCGCCAGAGGCCCAGTTTGATTTTGCCGAAATGCTAAGCGAATATAAAATTATTTTTGAAAAGAGACTGCTTTCGGAGGTACGCTGTGGCCGAAACAAATTATTACAAAGTTTGAAACCTCGAAAAATTCCGAGTATGAAAGAGCGATGACCAATTAACATAGAAGATATGCAATATGAAAATGCGCCTGAAAGCAAACGCCGATAAAAATCGTACCAACCATACATTGTCCTTTTCGAATCGGCAAAGAGAATTTCGCGAGAATTATAATTTTTAGTGCGCTGCATTTGCATATCAACACTCCGTAAAAAAAATCGGCCAATTTAACTTTACTTTTCAAACGTGAGTCTGCTACTAAGGTTCCTCCGAAATTTTGTATCAAATGCTCAATCTAGAGTGTAAACGTTTAACTTTATTTATACCAATTCTGAGTACTTGCTCGCCTGTTGAGAGTACGCTCAGAGATGGAGCAAGTGCTCAGAGACTGAGCAATTGCTCACCCACTTTATTCTTACCAAACTGAGTAGGATCTCCGAAACTCGGAGCAAAGAGTACTTGCTTACTTTCATTCATACCACCCATTGACTTCCCGATTTTCGGGAACAAAATTACATCTATCTCCTCGCCACTTGCACCAACCTTAACCATTTTTCGAACAGCAGTAATGGATCTTAATCCTGCCGTGTGCGAAGTTACATCCCCCCAAAACGTCAAATTCATATTTTACAACCGAAAATTCGAGAAAGCATTGTTTCAAAAGTGAAAAGTTGGCCGGCTTGCTTATACGGAACCAGTGTCTACGGATGGTTAGTTGCGTTTTGGAAAAATCTGTGTAAGACTCCCAAAAACTGCGTGAACATCAGACGCAAAAAGTGGATTTGTTCGTCCGCCCAATAGATCCAATGTTTGTCCGTCCGTTCGTCGGGCGAATCGCCCGTCGATCTGTTAGGCCGCCAGACTGATAGTCCGTCATTACGTCGGTCAGATAGGCTATCGGTTTGACAGTACGTGGGTCCGATAGTCCGTCAGACCGATGGTCCGTTAGAACCGAATAGTGTAGTCCTTTGGCACGATAGACCGTGTCCAATAGACCGTTGAAACGATAGACCGTCTGTCCCACACCTTACCATTCCCTCCATACCTTACTATGTAAAACGAAATGAGCCATTCGTTTCCACATTTAACTCAAGTGACGCAATTTAGAATATAATAAATAATTCTAACCGTAATTAGAAATAATAGTACTAATTAGATATATTAGATTAATTAGTAATAATTAGAAAGTGAAAATAGTGAACATTAAAAAGAATTTATCGAATTACGCAGAAAAATCAACTTATTGTATGAATGAACAAGTGTTCATGGAAGTTTTAGTGTTTACAATAGCAAGTTTTTAATCTTGATTACAGCTGACTTGACTCGATTAGCACTGACTGAAGCCAATCCTGGCTATTGCGCAGGTTCATGCAGTTTTCATTTCATAACTATTCGTAAGACGTATGTGTTAGTTCAAGTGGTCATCACTGCGAACATAAGCTAAAGTATGTTGCTCAAATGCTTTTCACCCGTGTACTACTTTAACAAACTCCTAATGTGTTCTGGCTTTAAAGGATGCAGATAATTTTATTTGAAGGTTTGAACTAATTTATAAAAGATATATTCCATTGTATTCAAAAGCAAAGCTCAACTTCACAGTTTGCCGTGTTTTTAGTAATACACAGAATGTATCATTATTACTCGAAGATCCCCTCCCAATCCCCACTTCACTGTTTTCTCAAAACATTTCTGGCAACCCCACAAGTACCTCGCAAATTACATTGCCATTGGAGTGACACTGCCTCAAACTGATCGACTCGTTAGAGATTATACTGAGCATCCAAAAGGAAAGTAATATTAATTTTAACAATGACATTTAATGTATCATACATCATTTGGATTGTATAATTGTAAAGAACCTGTTACAAGTATTGTACATCAGCTTCTGGGTCAATGACCCCCATCTCCATCAAGTTTTCATCCAGTTTTCCTGATCCTCGTGCAAATGCTGAGATGGCCTGTCGTTTTGCTTTTGGACATAAATGCAACTTCGAATTAACTTCTCCCCATAGCTTGTCACACACAGTTTTTAAGTGTTTTTGATGTAATTAAATAAAAATAAATAAAAAAAGTGGGAAATTCCAATTTCCCATTTCAACTTTTTTTTTGATTTTCATAATATGGAGTGTGTGCTGAAAATGAGCATCTGCACCACTTTCTTTACCGTACTTTGGTACATTCATGAAAAAAAAACAACAACATTGAAGCAGTTTCTGAGAAAATAATTGTTTAAAATTTAAAAATTGCCAATGTTGGATGCAAAAAATTCTCATGTTTCCAAAAAATTGTACGGGACCGTACTTGGAGATCTGTTTTTGATGATCACATTTTATGAAGAAAGAAAATGTATCTTCATAATTCAAAACATCTTCTAAACATCAAGTTAACAATTTTTGCTTGAAAATATTTAGGGGGCATGAGAGAGGTGTACACTAGACATCAGTGTTGAGTTCTTAATTTAGTAATAACTTCATCCTCTTTACAAGTAATCCTTTCAAAGTTCTTATTGACCTCGGTTGGAGATTTTTTATGTAGCTCACTGGTATTCATTTTCGATAATTGTACCAGATAGTTTGTAATTTATTAGATATGATTTCACAAGGCCTTGATGTATTCAAAACTACTGTTGCTTATTGGTTACAGAGGTGGTCATTTCTGTATCTGGTATACTTTATTTAACATCTGAATTGAAAATAAAATTTTAAATATTACATTTAAATGTGCTAGTACTATTTCTACTTATTATAAATGTTTTAATTCATAATTGTGAAGAGTGTGGACGTGTTGAGACATGTGGATGGAAAATTGTAGTCTGTGGCACAACTCTGCCTTCACCATTCTCCAGAATGTCCTTTACACTATCCAACAACAAAATTTAATAAAAATATTCAATATTTATTTGTAAAAATGTGAGTATGTCCCAGGGGTTTCATTTATATGCAGGAAACACCCGGAACATTTTCAAAAATTCATTTATATTTCAAAATTTTTAGAGTTTCTTTTGTATTCATAAAGCGATATTGGATGGCTGTTTGTTCTGGATTCATCTGTGAAATTATCCTTGAATGTCTGTATAATGTGCTGCAAATAATGGGAGAAAGTATGTCTCTTCTCATATCCTATCTGGTGGTCCTAAAATACATTTTTCCTCATTTTCTCAATTTTCCAGAACCCTAATTATAGAATTGACATATGACTTTATGAATTCATTAAAAGAATAAAATCTGGTCCTAAAGGTACATTTTCGTGCAAAAATTTGGTGGAGTTTTTAAGAAAATGTCATTTAGCATATCTGAAAATGCGCATTTTTGAAGCATATTTTAATCCAAAAATTTTCAATTTTGAACAAAATTCATTAGAAATTATTTTAAATAATTGTACTGTCCAAAGCAATGAGACTTGTAATGTCAATATTAACGACATGAGAAAAGTTTTAAAAAATGTTTAATTTTTTAAAAAAGCAAAACAAAACTGCACAATGGTGTTTGTTATCTTAAACAGTGCATTAAATATTATACGCATAAAATGTTTGAACAAAAAATTTGAGAATGTTTTAGAGTTAATGGTTTCTTTCAAAAATGTATAATTTTGAGCACATTTTGACAAGGTTTTAAATTTTTGAGAAACTTTTTGACTTTGTTTGAAGCAGTTTTATTCACATATGTAGTAATGTATACAAATGGCTGGTGAAGTTAACATTAACGGCATAAAGAAAAAATTTGGAACCGTTTTTAGAAAATCTTATTTTTAATATTGCTCATATTTCACTATATGACTAAAATTTCCAAAAACAATGTATTTGACATTAATTTAAGAACTAATTGTGGAGAATAATAATTTGAAGAAAAATCACTATATTGAATATTGTACTTTTAAGATGATGCCTCAAAAAAATCAAACCGTAGTAATTTTTGAAAATTGAGAGTTAATGGTGAAAATTGGCCCTATGCCATCTTTAAAAGTGTATTTCACTCCGGCCTTACAAGAAATTAAAGAAAAACTTTACATCTACACAACTTGCCTAGTAGGTGTTGAAAATGCTGTGTTCTTTGCCCTTTGACCTCTTGAATAGGACATTCTGATTCAGATTTGTAAATGTGATGTTTGAGATCTCTTTGGTTTGTGTTCTTGAAACTCTGCTTTTGTGTGGATTTTCTTTCTGTTTACTTTGTCATTCTCCGTGCCCCACAAATTATTGCTTCAGAAGGGAAATCTTGGCCGCCATTTGCCAAGACTACTTACACAATCAGGAATAGCCTAGCATCATGCACTGTAAATAAAATAAATGGACGTATTTAAAGTATTTTGAAAGTCTATTGTTTTTTTTGCATGTTCCTTTGTCTCAATTGAACACCGAGGATGTGCAATTGCTGTATATATAATTTTCTCGACTTATGATGATATATTTATAAATTTATGTGAATTGCAGGCTGTGGATTTATCTAGTATTGATGCCAGTGAAGATGACAAAATACAAGCGATGATGACACAATCAACACAAGACTACAATCCATCCAAGTGAGTATTAAGTATTATACAGTAAAAATATTTTCGACTACATCAGCCAACTCTTCAGAAATTATAACTCATTTTTCATTGCTACAACATAGTTGTAATGAAGTGGTTGTAAACAAGATTGAAAGACTAAGAAGTATGAATGGTAGGCTTGTGTACATCAATATCAAAATTTTCGATCAGGTTTTCCTCCAGTGTCCCTGATCCATGAGCAAATGCTGAAATGGCCCCTTGTTTTGCGTCTGGACATAAATGTAACTACAAATTACGTTCTCACCATAGCACGTCACACATGTTTTTAACTGTTTTTGATGTAAATAAATAAAATTAGAACAAATGATATAATGATGTGATTTTCCAAGTTGAATCACAGAATAAATCAGTCTAAACCACTAATAGTCATTTAGATTTAAAATATACTTAAATAGACATTTTAATAAATGTTTAGTTGGCATATATAAACTATAGAAATTTAATTAGCTATGCAGAATATGTATGTTATACTACATTTATCATTGGAAATTCCACAAATGCTTTGGAAATTGTTAATAAAGTTGTTAAAAAAATATAATACAATTGTCTTAAAGAAAGGATTAGATTGTTGTTTATTCAAACAAAAATGACCATTTAACAACAGAAAATTTCATCTCTATTGTAAACTGAGATTTTGGAAAAAAAAGTTAAAACTGTAATTCTGATAGAGCAACTAAAACAAAAATATTGTCTTATTGCAGTAAAATAACCTGTTATACAATTTTCATAATTAAAAAAAACGTTTGAAAATTTTCAAAAATGTTACGTTTGTTAAAATCGTTCTGTCGTCCGCCGTCGTTCTGCCCGTCCGCCGGTCCGTTTCTGCCGTCCGCCGTCGTTTCTGCCGTCCGCCGGTCGTTCTGCCGTCGCGCGGTTCGTTCTGCCCGTCCGCCGGCGTTCTGCCCGTCCGCCGGTCGTTCTGCCGTCCGCCGGTCGTTCTGCCCGTCCGCCAGTCGTTTCTGCCGTCCGGCCGTTCGTTCTGCCCGTCCGCCCGTCGTTTTGCCCGTCCCGCCGGTCGGTCGGCCGCCGTTCTGCGTCGCGTTCTGCCCGTCGGGCGTCCGCCGCGTTCTGCCCGTCGGTCGGTCGGTCGTTCGTCGTTTCTGCCCGTCGGTTCGGTCGGCCGTTCTGCCCGTCGGTCGGTCGGCCGTTCTTGCGCGTCGTCGGTCGCCGTTCTGGCCCGTTCGGTCCGTCCGGCCGTTCTGCCGTCGTCCCGGCTCGGCCGTTCTGCCTGTCTCGGTCGGTCGGGTTGCCGTTCTGCCCGTCCGGTCGGTCGCGCGTTTCTGCGTCGGTCGGTCGTCGTCGGCCGGCGGCCGGCCGGCTGTTCTGCCGTCGCGTCGTCGATCGGGTCGCCGGCCGCCCGTTCTGTCCCGTCCGTCGTCGTCGGTCGCCGGCCGGCCGTCTGCCGGTTTTTTTTCCCGTCGGTCGGCCCGTCCCGTCGGTCGGCTCGTTCCTGGCGCGGTCGGTCGGTTCGTTCTGGCCGGCGGTCGGTCGTTCTGGCCGGCGGGTCGGTCGTCCGTGTCTGGCCGGCGGTCGGTCGTCCGTTCTGGCCGCGTCGTCGGTCGTTCTGGCCGCGGTCGGTCGGTCGTTTCTGCCCGCGGTCGTCGTTCTGCCCGTCTGTGAAGTCCGTCCGTCGTCGTTCTGTCCGTCCAATGAAATCCAGCTGATGCCATATCAACTTACAATCTTCCTTTAATATTAAGACGGAGAAATATGAGTTGGTAGTGTATTTTCTCGTATTTCGGTTCATTTATATTGAGTATGGTTTCACTTTTCTATTCATTTACAGCTTACAATGAAGATTCGTGGTGCGAATCAATGGGCGAATTTCCTAGCAATTATCGTTGCTATAAATGCCACCAGCCCAGGGCATTGGATAAAAAATTGCCCTTTGGAGCCAATTCAGTAGGATTTATTAAGTCCTATTGTATTATGTAAAGTGC